GGGACATCAGCCCCAGCCCCGGTCCCCAGCCCCATCGCCCCTGCGGACATCAGCCCCAGCCCCAAACCCCATCCCGGGGTCCCAGCCCCTTCCCAGGTCCCCACCGCCCCCAGGGCCATCACCCCCATCCTTGGTCCCCATCCCTGTCACCCCCAGGGCCATCACCCCTCAAAACCTCCGGCAGGGAACTGGGGGAGCCGAAATGGGCTGAATCTGCCCGAAAACACCCCAAAAAAGGCAACGTTTTTCACCTGCCTGCTGGGGCTGATGCTCTCACCCACCCGGGGGCTGGCACAGCAAATCTGCCTTTAAGTGCAGCTGAGAGCTTTTATCCCTTAATCGTCCTCTGGTGGGGAAATAATAAGGGGGAAAAAAAAAGAAAAGACAAGAAAAAGGGAAAGAAAAAAAGAAAAGACAGGAAAAAGGGAAAGAAAAAAAGAAAAGACAGGAAAAAAGGAAAAACATAAGAAAAAAAACTTATTTACTTGGAAGGGAAGAGGAGGAGGGAGAGCGAGGGGGCTGCTGCGATACCCCGGGGCCTTGGGGGGCTTTTTAGGGGGCACGAAACAGCGGGGGGAGGCGCCTGGGCCAGATCCTGCCCGCCCTGAGCCCGCCTTCTCCGAAAACGGGCCCCTTCGCACTTTTTCGGGCTTTTTCTCACTTTTTCTTCTGGCTTTTTCTTGCTTTTTCTCACTTTCCGGGGGACCCCAATAACAGCAAAGCATCTTCACACTGCGTCGCCCATAAAATATCACCGAAACGGGAAGATTTCAGGCAACCCAACCCATTTTTTTTTAAATTTTTCAATATTTTTAAACACAACTGGGCTGCCGTGGCTCCCCCCCGCACCACGGTGGCTATGGTTACCGTATCTTCCCTTCCCCGGCTTTTATTGCTCTGCCATTAAACCCAAATACAAATAAAGAGCTTTCGCAGCCGTTCCCAGCTCCTTATTTTTAAATATTTGAACGGGAACGCGCATTTTTTCCCCCGTGAAGAAATAATTTCCCCCCCACCGGCTTCACGCCTGACCTTCCTCCGCTGACGAAAGTGGCCAAATTTTGTCAAAACTCCCAAAAATAAAATGAAAGATCGCGGGAGGGATCATCCCAGGCGCCGGCGCCGAGGGTTTTGGCACGTCTATCATGTTTTTATGGTATTTCATCATGTAATTAACGGGCGCTAATTAAAAGCCCGAAGCCCGGCCTTGGGGGCAAGCCCTAGAGCAGCCCCAGCAGGGGCAGGCTGAGCCCTGGCAAGAACTCATTGCACCTCACAGCATCATCCAACCTCCCTGTGAGGGTTTCTCACACCAGTTTAAGGCAGCGCCTTCATACTGGTCCCAGTTTGGGTCCTGAGCATCCCCCCAGCCCAGAGCAGCACCCGGGGGAGGATGTCAGCAATTAATATTTCTGCTCAATTAACTCCCCCCTCCCGCCGCTTCCCCAGCGCTAACGAGGGGATGGCAATTATTCCGGCGGCGATAACGCCGGGGCCGGCGGGTCAGCGGCACGGCGGCTTCACCGCGGGGGTCAGCCGCTGCCCCGAGCGCCGCGGGAGCGGGAAAAAACCCCCCGCCAACCTGTTTCGACCTGTTTGAACCCGTTGTAACTGATTTTTTCGGCAAAAAGCTCACCCTGCTTGAGTTTCTGCGGCCTTTTTTTTGCAACAAACCTGGTTCTGCTGAATCTACGGGGGGTGGAATTCAGGAATCGCCATGGCAACCCATGGGCTGTTTTGGGGGGATTAGTGGGGAGCGGAAGGGGGGGATGTCGGGGGGGGAGAGCCGGCGGGGCGGGGGGG